CCTCCATCTCGCCAGGGACCCCAGATGGCACGGCAGGCCGAGGGCCTTGGGGCCAGGGAGACAGCCTCAGAGAAGCATAACATTCTGACAAGGGGCTCCGGGGGTAACGCACCCCAGAATGTCTGCGATTCTGTCCCCCACGTCCCTCTGACAGGCACTTGTTAAGTACAGACCTCTGGTGGCCCAGGGCACAGCTTGAAGCTCCCCACAAGCCTGAATGCCCGTGGTGAAGTCTTGACCTTTACATTAAAACCTGTATACGCTGTGTCCTCTCTCTGACTCTATAGTGATGTGCGTTTTCGTATCATAACAATCAGTGGTTTATTTCCCAAATTTTTGCATAAATCAGCATGACTTGTCCATCCTGCGGCATGGCCCCTGCCACACTGCCACCTGCCCGTCACCCTGCCAGGCTACACCAGCTCCGTCTGAGGAGCTCTAGGCAGTCAGTGCCATCTCCACAGGGAAGCTCTCAAATGGGGGTGGGGTAGAGGGGCCAGGGCAGGCCCAGCCAAGGGATCTCACCGACAGCCTCTTCCTCAGGGAGCCAGCCAAGTGCCCCCATCAGGGCCAGATACCCACGCCCACTGCCTTCTTCCCAACTCTGTGGGTTAGTGTGTCTCCCCTTAACAGAGGGAGGGCCTGGTCACTTGCTTGTTTGCTGATGAGCAGCTGATCCAAGATAGAACAGGAATTCAAGAAGCTCCCCTTGGATTCACCAAGTCATTCTGCTAATAACAGCCCGATTTTGCAAAATGCTCCTGTGTGCCAGGTCTCCTCTAAAAAAGGCAGTGTTAGAATTCCTATCTTTCCTGAAGAGGACACTGAAGCTCAGAAATGTTAAGAAACTTGCCTAAGCAAGGGTACCCAGCTGGCCACTGACAGAACCGGCACTCGAACCCAGCTCCTGGAGCAGCGAACTCCTGGCTGCACTGTGCTCCCTCACAGGACCTAGCTGGTGATGAGGAGGAAGACCCTGAAGCCCTGCTCCCAAATCCCTACTCTCCTCAGGCTCTGGCCCCTTTGCTAGGAGAAATGCGACCCATGATGTGCTGGCACATGGTCTAGAGACACAAGCAGTTGTTGGCCCCTCAGTTCTAGGTTCAAATTGTAATAGGCCTCAGAACATCTCTGCATGAAGGATGGGCTCTCCTGATGCCCCCACTAGACTCAGAGCAAATCAGCCCCATCACTCTGTGTTAGTCCACACACTCTTTCCTGCTGGGCCTCAGAAATGTATTTCCTGTGGAAAAAGGAAGCCAAGAACCCAGGAAGCAAAATCACAAAGAACACCAAAACTCAGTCAATCACTGACCAAGACAAAATTCAACAGGCCTAAAAGACAAATGCAACAACCACAGAGTACAACCTCCAAGCAATACTTCTTTGTTTGGGTACATACCAACATTGCCCTCTGCTGTCTATCCTCAGTATTACCACAGGTCTCTGGCTGAAGGTGAAGTCCTGACCCCTGGCTTCCCCATCCTCTCCCAACCTGAAGTGTTACACACCTCCAGGGAGTGCTCCTCACACCACCATCTTGATGTGAAAAACTTCACACAAAATACAGATGGAGGATCCCCCGGGGGTTGTGCAAAGCTGTGGTCCTGCCCCTTGTCGTGGAGCACGTTGATCTAAGGACCTAGAAGCACAGTGCTGAGCAGCGAGGCTAGGGAGTCCTGCACTGCCTTCCAACAGAGCTATGAGGCAGCTGCTGGGGGGAAAAAAGGCATTTTCTTTTTTCTATTTCTTCAAGGAGCATGGAGAAAGGATTCTCCCTGGCTCTGACCCATGTCCTCCAAACCCCACGGCTGACAGGATTCTGAGGTCTAATGGGCAAATTCAAGTGCATGAGACCTGGCATCCCTCCCACAAGGCTGCCACAGTTGTGATTTCTGCAGCTGAGCACGAGGCGTCCCAGGACTGCCTGCCCTCCTCCCCCCACTGCATGTGTGCTGTCTGAAAGCAAGTGCCAGGTGACATTCAATTAACCATAAGGAAGAGCTGGCTGCTCCTGGACTCCAAGTGAGCACTAGGTCCTAAAATCCCTGGGGATGGGAGGTGAAGCCACTCCAATCCTGGACAACTTACTCCCTCCCTGCCCTTACCTAGGACAGGACGCAGCTGTGATTCCCGTACCAAACAGGCAAGGTCCCAAAGAGCCAATGGGACTGTAAATCCAAAAGTCCTCACTGGGGACCTTGACAGTGCCATATGCACCTCTCACTGGCCCTCCACTGGCAGCTGACAGAATCGCCTCAGGCTTCTGTCCCCTCCACATAGCAGCCCATGCAGAGCCAATGGATTCAGCACCAGAGCTGTGGCCAGCTCCCCACTCGCCAGCCCTGGCTTACACTTGTGCGCAAGGGACCAGCAGAACAAGGGGAATACTTGAGGCTAAATAATGAGCTTGTGCATTTTCCAGGCAGCCTTAGGTTCCCTAACTTACAAGATGCTGTGCAAGATACAGGGAAAAAAAACTGGTCATCAAAGCCCTTGTAAATCTATTATATAACCTTACTCCATGTTCAAACCTGGTGACGGACTACAGGCAAGAAGGTGCAGGGCCAGATGCTTATGCAGGGGACAGAGAAATGAATAGCATGTAGGCCATTTCCTCCAGCCAACAAGGAAGATAATGCAGGTACATGATGAAAGAGCAACAGTAGCTTAGACTGAGTCACCAAGGAGAGAACGGAGAGGGGGTGATGCCTCCACGGGGCTACCACTGCCCAGAAGCCAGGCTCTGAACAGCCATGGAAGGATGAGCAGCCCTGGAGAGAGTAGTGTCTGTCCCCAGGGGAGGAAATATCCAGGGTCAGGGTTTGGGGGCAAGAAATGCAAGGGAAGGGGCACCAAGGAAAACAGTGATGGAGGACTGGGAGGAAGCACAGAGCAAGAGGCAGTAACAGTGCTGATGCAACCAGAATCCTGTGCAGGCGAAGGAACACTGAGGAGGGAGCTAGCCGTGAGCTGTGAGGTAGGATGGCTCATCTGGCAGGATGGCTTGTGGGCCACCAGGAGGAGAGCAAGGGGACAGGCAGGGTCCTGAGGTCATGCTGAGGGCTCTAGGGCACAATCTGGTGGGGACACCTTGCTGAGCTCTCCCTGCATCCCACGGGGCTGCCCTGACCTCCCAGGCTGGACCAGCCAGAATCCCTGTGGGCACTGACAGCTGACCCAGGGACATCTCAACACTTACACTACTACATCTGTCCATGGATGGGCAAGAAACTATGGCCTCTTCCCTCACTCCTGGAGCTCACCTCAGCTCTCCAAAGGCAGTGGGACACACTGGAGGATGGTGCCCGGACTATAAGGCCTCCTCCTGCCCTGCTTAGGTGCACATTTATGTCCCCATGGAATTTACCCTACGCAGGGGCCTTCAAGAGCTGCTTGGCAGTTGGTAGGACAGTAAGACGGAGGCAAACTCTCGACACCCACTGAGAAAAGATGTGCATGGAGAAAAGGGAACTGCACACATGCCAAACAGCTGAGAGTCAGAGGTGGAGAAAACAAAAGGAAAATGCAGAGAAAGGGGACCAGCACACCAAAAAGCTGAGAGGGAGAACCCAAAGTCCGTCCCATCGTTTGAACCATCATGGACTTGCTGGGCGCACCTACCTTCCAGTGGTGCACACACACAGCCATGAACACACACACGTACACACATGCATATACACAAGGAGAGGGTTACGTAACTGACCAAATGTGACGATGACAATGAGCACAACCTTCTGAACACAGATAGGAGGGGGCCTCTGTGGTCATCAGGATCTTCTACAACAAGCTCTTCAACTCACATCCCACTAAAGAAGTTTGAGAATCCTCAGAAACTGGACATTACATATTCCCAGCCTTTGGGAAGATGGAGAGAAACCCCATGTCCTGTACCCTGCCCTGATCTCTCACAGGTCCTCCTCCCTGACCACCTCAGGGGGGTGCCCACCTCCTCTTCAGGCCTGCTCATTTCACTGAATGCTTCAGGCCTCGGTGAGCCCCCCACTCCACTCCCCTGGGCCACCCAGGGCTGGGTGACTGACAGGGCACAATGTCACTGACTGGTGACCCCTGCCTCCCTCCCACTCTTGGCTTTGCTGGGGCCGGCTGATCTGTGCTGGCGAAGACACTGGCTCCAGTAACAGACCCTAGGAGAGAAGTCCCAAACTAAGTGATGCAGAAAATGAATTTCTAGGAGGCCCCCTTACCCTGACCCAAAACCCAGGACCATCTTAAGAGACAGCACTTAGGTGACAAATAGTTGCCTAAGAACATTATACAAGCTGACCTAGTCCAAGCTAATAACGACCCTGGGGTGAGAACTATTATTAGTAGACCCATTTTACAGATGAACTGTAGCACAGAAAAGTTAAGTGATTACCCAAGAGCACACAGCCAAAAAGTAGGTTCAGGGCTGGGAATTTAGCTCAATGGTTCCACTGCCTGCAAAGACCGGGGTTTGATCCCCGGCACCAAAAAATAACAAAACAAACAAACAAAAAAAGTAGGTTCAAATCCAGGCAGGGTCTGAGCTCTGAATCATGACACAAAAAGGCCTCTCCATCCTGTTTCCATTTAAAGGGATGATACTGACTGAACAACTCTCCCAAGCCTCTGGGGGCCTCAAAGCAGCTTGGGAAACATAGCCATGGAGCTTCCCCCAGGGTGAGGCATGAACTTAAAGTACCTGCTCTGAAAGTCTCTGGAATAACACAGCCAAGTGCCCTGAGGCCCCCACTCACCAAGCAAGAAAAGCAATTCCGGCAGCTGCCCTGGCCAAGCTTGGTCCTAGCCCCCTGCCACTCCCCACCCGCTGTGTCCCCTGCAGAGTTTAGGTGAGGTCCTAGGATCTCAGTGAGGAGCATCCTCTCATCACCAGGACTCACCTGCCTGCCCCCAGAGGGACCCTGCAGTCTCCCCGTCCCTTCTCCCTGCAGCTTCCCCCTCATTCCCTGGGAGAAGCCAGAGCAAGGAGAGGGAGGGGCCCAGTTCTCACTCACTTGAAGAAGTCCTCCTTGCAGTAGACGCTCCCTGCCCTGGAGAAGCACCTGTCGGCCAGCTGCATCTGGCAGTCTGCACACTTGAGGCAGGAGCTGTGCCAGTGTCTGTCCAGGACCTTCAGGATGAACTTGTCCAGGATATGCTGGTTGCAGCCAGCACACTGGGGGATCTCTGTGGGGAGAGGAGAGAGGCAGTGTGAGTCTTTGGCACAGCCTGCTAAAGACCAGGCTGTGGGCTGCATTCCCACCATGCCTGTGGTGGGAACAAACCTGACCAGAAGCCCCAGGGCAGCTGTTTTCAGTACTTGGTGGAAACTGCTGGAGACATCAGCCCCCAAGTGAGCCCTGCCTAGCTAGGGACTGAGAGGCCATCTGGCCTGAAAAGTGAATGATTTGGGGTGGGAAGTGGCTGGTAACCAAGGTCCAGGCCTGAGGCTGCTCCTGGAGAGTGGATCTCAGCATTTCCTTGAATTTCACCAGGTAGCATGGATTGGCTCCATCAGTAATCCTTATCAGCCTGGTGTGGTGGCACATGCCTGTAATTCCAGCACTCTCCAGCACTCAGGAGGCTGAGGCAGGAAGACTGCTTTGAGTTCAAGGCCAGCCTGGGCTACATGGTGAGTTTAAAGACAGTTTAAACTACATAATGAGACCTTGTCTCAAAAAAATCCTTCCTGATGTTCATTCCTGGGCCACAGAAAGAAAGTTATACACTGATTTCTCAGATTCCCCTGCAGTTCAGGTTCTGAATGACCTGCATTCAGAACTGAGTTAAAGGTAAGGACAGCTGAAGGGCAGGCTCTTTTTGTACTGGTGTAGATCATGGCAGAGGCAATGAAATTTTGGGGAGCTGGGAGTTATTCCTGGAACTCCTGCCTAGACTTGGCTCTGCTGATTTAAAAGTTACCTATACTGGGGCTGAGTTTTAGCTCAGTGGTGCCACCACCTGCCTTGAAAGCGCAAGGTCCCGAGTTCGATGTCCGGTACCAAAAAAAAGTTACCTACACTGTACCTAGTAATGAGTGAAAGCTTATTCTATTGTCACTGAATGATTCAAAATCTCCAAACTGGTCAGGCTCCTATGATTGGGTGAATAATGATAGTGTTCCTAGCCATTCTTCCCTGCCCCCACCATCACCAAGGTGGAAAGGTAACAAATACTAAAGCCAAAATCATAAAAGTGCAAACACTAGTCCTCCTAACATAGCATTCACAAGGCCGGCAACCCTGCATTTCTCACTCTGTTATAAATAATGTCTGCGAGGCTGAGGCAGGAGATCTTCAGTTCCAGCCCAGCCTGGGCAATTTAGTGACTTAGCAAGACCTGGTCTCAAAATAAATAAAACAGGGCTGGGGGTATAGCTCAGTGTGAAGGCCCTAGATTCAATCCCCAGTACCACCACCATAATGAAGCACTTTTGCTGTCTGCATACATCATTCCCACTGGAAGGAGATCCTAAGGAACAGCATTTCTTCCTCACCACCAGCAGCTGCTTGCCATGCAAGGGTAAATCTGTGGATGTTAATCAGTGGATAGCAACTTCCAGTACTCACTAAGAAGCTCACTTGAAACAGTTCCTCACAGTTTCTCCTACTCACGCCATGTCAACAAAAGCACTAAAGCCAAATTTCATGAGAATCACATGTGTTTCTCCATTTATATTGCGCTTCTGGTTGGGATATCAATCCTACAATGTTACCATGATAGAATTAGCCTCGAAGCCTTGGGGAAACAATTAAACACATCAAAATCCATACAAAGAAAAAGTGTTCTTTCTTGAATTTAAAACTTATAAACAGGCAATTGGGCCACTCACTAAACGCCATCAATAGCCCTATGCTCACAAGTGCTCACCTTGGACCCTGTTAAGCCCCAACCCTTTCATGGATCAGCACCACCAGAATTTACTTGAAAGTTAGACCCATTAGCCAGTGCCTGGGCTCACGCATGACCTTTTCTCTGACACGTACTAAGAGTCAACACCAAAGCAGATGCATGCAAGCCTAGACCCTGGCTAATTGTCCCGGTTCATGTGGGAATTCTTTTCTATTTTAAAAGGTTTCCTTGAGAAAGAAACTGCTCAACTGATCAGTACTTATCAAGTTCTGAAGTACCCAGTAAAGTGCTAAGCCCCTGGTGGCCACAAGAATGTCCATTTAATAAAAGGGTAGGAAGAGCACAGGGAAAGCCATGGACTCTGGAACCAGACTGCCTGGGTCTGAATCTTGGCTCTGCTTTTTCACTTTGGACAAATCATTTAGCTCATTTCTGCTTCAGTTCCTCACCTGTAAAATGATGCTGGTGCCAATAGTGCCTCATAAGACCTACAGTGAAGAGTAAATGGGCCAAGGCATGAAAAGTTCCTAGCACAGAGTCCAGCACACAGCAGGTACTCCATAAGGGTCTCTATGATTAGGAGACATGATCAACTGCAGAAATGGGTGAAAGACACTCTTCATGCACCCAGGCTTTACCTGACTGAGCCTTCATAAAAATCCCCATTCCTTGGGCCGGGGATTTAGCTCAGTGGTTCCAGCACCTGCCTCTCAAGCTCAAGGTCCCAAGTTCGATCCCCAGTACCAAAAAAAAAAAAAAAAAAAAAAAAATCCCCATTCCAGACGTGATGGTGCATGCCTGTGATCCCAGAACTCTGGGAAGCTGAGGCAAGAGATCACAAGTTCAAGCCCCACCTAGGCAACTTAGCAAGATCCTGCCTCAAAGCAGAAAAATAAAGTGGGCTGGGGATGTAGCTCAGTGCAAAGACTCTAGGTTCAGTCCCTCCAGTAAGGCTGGGAGGGCTAGAGTGTGGACTTAAGAGCACGTCTGTCTGTCCCCAGCAGTCACAGCCCTGGCCTCTGCAGGGGCTGCCAGAGACCGGCCTCCCTGGAGCTGAAGGGAAGGTTTGGGTGGAGAGGTGGCACTTGTGCTGCCTGGGAGAGACGGTGAGGAAGCTGCAGGGCCCATAGCCAGGATAAGCCCAGTCTCCAGCAGTGGAGAGCAGGGACAACTCAGGTCAAGAGCTGTTGGAGCTGGAGCACTGCGGGCTACTGAGCCTAAGGACTGCTTGAGGAAGGAGGAGTGGAGGACTGCTCTGGCTTCATCCTGCAGGAGAGAGTAGGCAGACCTAGCCAGGAAGTCCTCCCAGCTAAGGGAAGAAAGGCATGGGCAAAAAGGCACAGTGCCAGCCTGCACGTGTGAGCAAGGCCAATCATGCACTATGGGGTTGCTATGCAGTGCCGAGTGCCACTTGAACCCAGAGGGCAGTTGCACTCACCCAAAGCTAGGCACCTGGGCACTGCCTTGGTGGAGAGTGCCATGTCAGGGGCATCTCTGAGCAAAGAAAGGAGGTAGACACAGTCCAGGGTCAGCCAATTACCCTTTTGTGAACCTGTGGAGCCACCCTGGCTGGCCCTGGGAGGCAGAGGCAGAAGCGGTGAGCCACCTTCTACGAGTTCCTGGCTCCTGGGCCCCAGGGCTGCAGTCCCACTTCATTGTTTGGCCTGTCCTCCAGGGAAGTATAAGGCTCTATTTCTTCTCTCAGCCACAAATGCATGGGAAGAAGTGAGGATGTGTGCCCATAAAATTTATTTCAAGCAAGGTATCAACTGGGAGACTTAATATGATGATATTCAAGAGAGAATACATTAGGGCTAATGTAGTCAGGAAATGGCAGTAGGTGGGGAGCTCCAGGCCTGTGAGCCAGACAACACTGCCTTGAGGAAGAGCAGTAAAAGCAGGCAAACAAGCAAGAGATGCTTCAGGCTGAGTCAGGCGGGGCTGCCCCAAGGAGGGCTCCTCAGCAAGGCATTGGGACTAAGATGAGCCACCCCTCGGGTTTGGCACACATGGAAGGGATATAAGGAGGGTGACTTCAAAATTAAAAAAAAAAATAAAAGCCAGTATCGACTGAGAGAGAGACAGAGACAAAGAGAAAGAATTTTTTGAAGCAAAGATAATTTAGAAATGATTTAAAAGATCCACAATATGCAGTAAGAGTGAAGCTGGGCATCCAGAACCTACTGTGAACTCTGCCAGGGCTTGAATGTACATTACCTCACTGATTCACACACCTCAGTGAGGAGGTACCATCATCCCCACTTCACAGATGAGGAAACTGAGCCTGGAAGAGCCAGGCAGTGTGTGCTCAGAGTCTCGTGGTGGAGGAACTGGGATGTGAACTAACAGCCTGCACCACTGCTTCCCTTAAGACAGACAGGGCCAGGGATTTAGCTCAGTGGTTCCACGGCTTGCCTCGCAAGCACAAGGACCCAAGTTCCATCCCCGGTAGCAAAAACAAAACAAAACAAAACAAAACAAAAACAGACTCACTCCACCTGAGAACTCAAGAGGCCTGAGCCATCACTTTGCCTTTGCCTGGCTGGACCCTGCCATTTATAGACTGAAGGCTGCTCTGTGTGCTCCCTAACAACTGGGCAAATGAAATGTCTGAGGCATAAATTTAGATTACCTGCACAGAAAATGCATGTGTCACATGAGACGAACACCTAATGCCCCGGGAAGGGCAGGCAGCAGGAAGCCCCATCCACCAACCCCTCCCCCATCTGCAAGGTGCCCCCTTGTTGATGGCATCTGTTGAGCTCAGGCCCACCCCTGCCCACGGGAGGGCAGAGACTTGTGAACTCAAGCCCCACATCTCAGGCTACAAGGCCTCCATGTGATTACTAAGAAATGTACACTATCTAGAAATTTTTCAGAACAGCATAAGCCTTTTTAGGGCCTGTGAAAATTGTTATTGTTGCTATTATTTTACAACCTGGAAAGCCTGAACAGACAGAGGTTAATATAGGTCTCTTATCAGAAATGAAGCTGTAACCAAAATTTCCAAATCCTTAGTAAACTCAACTCATTTCATGCAGTATTTAGTATCATGAAATCTCACTTTAAAGACTGGAATTTATGCAGATCCTTGGAGTCACTAAAGGCAGCACTTGATGTATAAACTCAGTTCCCTATATGAACAACCATTTCATTTAAAATTAAGGTTTTTATTTTAGCCGCACATAAGAGTTCTGCAGTGATGTTCTCAGCTGGGGCTCTGCAGACAGTAAACTTAGGCAAGAAAAGGTAATGTTCCCGGGACAGCCAAGGAAGGAATCGACGGAGATGCTGAACCAACAGTACAATACGCTCCCTATCAGCAGGACCTGTCCACCAGAGCCTCCCATGTCCTACAGAGTGACATGGCAGAAGGCACAGACCTAAGGACACACACATGGAGAGCACAAACAT